TTCTACAGTGTCCTACACGCATACCGTGGGTGATAGGAAGATAGCTTACTACCGTTGTTCCCTCGAATACAGTTACACGACTTGGAAATGGGAGTCTCAGATTCCCAGTTCGGCAACAAAAATAGATAGTCAAAATCTTGCTTCGACCTGCCTTCTTTATTACCTATTAACTTGAAAACCTGTTTATCATTAAACTTACACTTGTTTCTCTCATGCTCTTGTAGATTTCGTTAACTTGCTACATGTTGTGTTATTAAAGATATTGTCATATACCCGTCACGTATTATTAGAAAGTTAGAGTTGTAAAATATTAAGGATCACATACCCATCGTGTATTATTAGAAAGTTAAGGTAAAGTTTTTTAAGGTTGCGAATTATTTAAGAAAGGTCGCAAAGTATTTAAGGTAAAGAGTGAAAATAATTTTTTACAGACCAAAGCATTTATATATCTATTGATCACTTAGATCGTGCATAAGATCTAAATATAGAAGGAACGTGTTATAATCTGAAACAATACGCATGGTTAAAATTACGTCATTTTAATGTAATCGTTATTTATTTGTTTTGAACTAGCAAGCAATTATTCTTGGTGAAAATATAGGTCACGTGTAACACATGATTATTAATTAATAAACTATCAAAAATCACATTTCGCACAATTTTGAGATGCTTTCTCGATTGTACGGATGGATTGTAACATATCAATAGTAAGTAATACTAGGCATTACTAAGTATTGTTACTATTTCCTACATAATCTCCAGAGAGAATCAAGGCTTCATCAAGCAATGCCCAAAGAAAGATCTCACAAGTGTCATTTTCATCTCGATCCATTACAACTCCACAATTTTGGCAATTGTACATCTCAGACCCTCCAATACTTTTTATGTTATCACAACAGTTATATGTTTTTGATGTGTAAGTCTCATCTTGAATAATAACATGGACTTCTAACTTCTTAACCTTGGAAATTAAACATTGATAGAAACAGTAATATGTCCAGCAGAACATTTTTCATACAATCTTTTATCTAATTTTTCTTGTTTTGTGATTTACTATATTAAATACCTTAAAAGGAAAAATAATAATAGCATTGAATTCAAAAAACTCTCTGTAGTCCATGCTCAAGTATGAACCCACCTCCTTGATATAAGTTGATACTTGGGTTAGAAAAGTTGCAATAGGTTAGGATTAATTTACTTATGTAAAGATCTTTAATGTAATGGCTATAAACTTTTGTTTAATAAAAAGTCTCGCATTTAATGTCTATTTGCAAAAAAAAAAAAATAATAATAATAATAATAGCATTGAATTCATAAGTAAAAAAAGCAACAGACTTTTAATGAATTTCACTTTGCAAGTATATAATTTTTTGCCATATCTGTGAAACTGCATGATCAAGCTGGCAGGCTTTGTGTTTCTTACACTTTGAGATAAAGGTAGCCAACTTATCTTTTTTGAAATAAGGTTATTTATATACTTACACAGACGAGAAATTCAACCTACATTATTTTCACCAATTTTCTTCACATCTTTGAAGAAAGAATATCAAGTAAAGAGTGTTCAAATGCCAAGATCAATGGAAACTGCATAAATAGAACTATACATGTTGTTGAAATTTATAGATTCTTGATGCAATTGACACAATTATTTGACACAATTAATTGAGTCACTATTAAAACATATAAATAATTGAGTCATGATGTAATTATTTTTGAAGATTTTGGGAATTGAGTCAATAGCAAAATAATTTACATCACATGTATAAATAGAACTATCTGCTTGAATTTCATAAAACTTTTTTTACTTCTTATAGATCCAAACAAATATCTACTCATTGATTTTTCAAGAATAGTTAAATTTGTCATTAGAAATAATTTTGTGTAGATAGAATCATTTGTTGTTTTTATATATTTTTTTAAAATGAAGAGACCACAAAGTACTAGATTTGTGCCAATGCACATATGCATACATTGATTAAGTATAAAGATAAGAAGTATAAAAGTAATTTCAAAAAATTTTACTAAAATTCTAAATACAAATTGTGATAGTATAATATAATACCTTATATAATTGAAAAGAAAGAGACATCCTCTTGTTACTATATATTTCATTTAATAATATCATTTTATGTAATCAATGCTTAATCAATTACTTCATCTGTGATATTGGCTGGAGCTGAGCTGAAACAACCTTGTAAAAGCATGCCAAGACAAATAACTATTCTACAAAATTTTTGTTTACTCCAAATTGCAGCTTTTTAAAGTTTTGTATCTTTCTTTTTATTTGTGTCTTTACTAATTCTTATGTCTATATATAACTTGAATTTCTCTTCAATTGGTTGAACCTTTAACCATATTTTTTGAATTGATCTAATATAATAATTCTTGATATAATATCGACGAAAATGATTCCAACAGATAACTGCATTATAAGCATATCTCACCAAATTTATCTATTGTTTGAAAATCTATTTTTGAGGATAATTTAGATATATCTTGATTGGTAATGCTTAGTTGATAATATTTTCCATCTTTTAATATTTGTTGCAAGTTGCTATTATCTTTTTTTGTATTTTTTGATTTCTATACTTTTTTTTATATCCAACTGCTCACTATCCTTGCATTCTGTAAATAAAGATTATATTGATGACAAGAATATTTTGGAAGAGTTTATGTTTATCAGAGATTAATTTATCAAAAAAAATTTCAAGTTTCATAGTATAGAGTGAGAATATGTATTGGATAAGGTCAAAGACAAACTGATAGAGTTGATTATGGTGAATAATCACAACTTTTGAGACTATTCTATAACTTGCTCATTTCAATAAGACCTTAAGTCCTGATCATTTGAAGTTAATACTTAAGCTAATATTGCTAAAAAGTTTATAGATTGGAAATTGAGAAAGAAGGATCTGCTTTTGTCATTCAAGATTTTCTTTTTGCTTAATGGTAGTGTTGTTGGTAATGGCAGTGGTGGTGATGGTAATAACTTTGACAGCATTTTGAGTTGTCAGGAAAAAAAGAAGAAATGTTGTAAAGGTGAGTTCCAGACAGAAATGTCTTAGCAGAGATCTTTCCTTTCTTGAGTCAATGACGTAAAGTGTCCAATGAGATACCAAGTTTCTTGGTTGCTTGGTGTGCAGATAAGTACATTGAAAAAAAGGATCTTATGATTGTGAACAACTAGGCATTACTAAGCAACTAATTTGTTAGGTGTTACTAAGCAATCGACAATGTTCGGTTACGTTCAACAATTGCGGTTTGTGTAACCTCTCGTAATTATATAATGGGTGATGAATGATCCATGTACGTGTGTATGATTTTTAATTATGAATGTATTTAACGAAATCCCAATTCTCGAAACGAAGATCGTTAAAGATGAGGCGTATCACAAAAACTACAAAGAAATGCTTGCAATGGTTGAAACATTGAATAGTCGATTGAGTCAAGCCACCAACCAGGGAACTGAAAAGGCTATTGAGATGCATCTTAAACGAGGTCAATTATTGGTTCGTGATAGAATTGACTTGTTATTGGACGAAGGCTCCCCATTTCTGGAGCTATGCCCTCTTGCCGGTTGGGGTCAGAAGGACATGACATTGGGAGGTTCAATTGTGGCTGG